CAATCAACTGGAAAGTAATGTATAAACTTAAGACTTCACGACTTGGACAAATGTGATGAATTATTCCTCCTTAAATTGCTAACAGTGATACATAAATTTTAGAGAGTCACACTGCAAGCCATACTTCCATAAATACTTTTTAAAAATAAAAAAGTAGATAAAATGAAAGCAAAATTAGTAAAACCAAAGAAATTTAAAATGTCATAAAATATTCTTAAGTTTCATTTTCTATAAGCATAAAATGGTTGTAATGAAATTAATTTACATTGGGCAATTTCTGGTATAGCTTTTTCTCTTAGTACCATCAGTGTATGCATATATCTTGTGTAAACAAAATGTGTACACACTTTTTTTCCTGCTAACCACCCAGAAGAAAACTCTGCTCTATAAAATCACAGAGGATCCCTCTGTAATTAGCATTAACTTCTGAGGAGTGGTGTCATTGCTACAGTTTCTGATTGTCATTCTGTCCCTTAATCTATTAAAAGGAGTGGTGAACCTCAGAATCTTTGCTTTCAGAACCTGTAGCATGCTTCCGATTGTCTGAGAAGGACTTTAGCTTATTTCTGGAAGAGCCTTCCCCTGTTCCTTACTCCACACAAGCAAACAGAACCCCGTGTGAAGGAACACAGAAGCAAAGAGCTATGTGTTCATTACATTTATAAGAAACCATTTGTTTTTAGGAGGTCAGGACATGGGGGCCAGGAATTAAGACCTAACAATTAACTTGGCTGGGAATGAGAAAAGCAGGGTGTCTGTTGGTAAACAGAATAGTCTTAAATCACCAAAATTGCATATATATATATTTTTTTTTTCTAGAAAACAAATAGGAAGTCTTTTCTCAGCTAGCTTTAATGTAAATAAGTTAGCAATCTGCCCACAGTTCTGGAAATGTGATATGCTTCTTTCCCTCATTTCTCCCACAGAATACAGGACAAAAAGCTACAAATCTTTTCTAATTTCTAAACTTGCCAACTCCTGCAAATGGCACTTATGGCAGAGCTTCTTGTAATGTCTGACCATACCACATAAATCCACTAACGACACGCTGGGTGACTTTGTGCTATTTCCCCACTAAGAAACCCAACAAACAAATTATATACATTATCAACATAGATTTATATTATTAAAAATTTGTTTTAAATTCTCACTAACAGATCTGGCTTTGTTCTGATGCTTTTCCCCACTCAAGAACTTCCTTAGAGTGGACTTTTTTCCCCTTTGTTTTCCCAGGAGGCTAGAATATATTTCTGAGAATCTTTAATTCACTTCCTATATTTAATTATTTCCCATGGTAGTTGGCTTTCTTTTTTCAACTGCATAMTAATCTTTTCTCTTTGTTACCCAGATTTTATCCCTTTTCCCTGATTCCCATCTCAAATATAGGGGGAGAAAGTATATAAACAGAGATACTGAACAAGCTAAAGAAAAACACAACAGGATAGAAAACATTTTGCAATTTTCTCTACTCATTTAGAAACTGGAACATTAAACTAAAGTTTACCACCAGTGGACTGAAAATGCCATTTCCCAGTAAGGCTAACACACTTTACCAAGGAAATTTGGGTCATTAGTCTCTACAGGTGATTTTTTTTATATAAATAAAATTGTGGAAAGTAAATGAATAGTAATGTTGTTGAATACATTATACTATATTCGTCTTGCATCTGCTGTGTTCCTGAATAGACATGCCTTTTTTAATGGATTAAATTTACAGTCCATATCTTTCCCCTTCTTTTAGTGTTTACAACTTTTCACCTTTCATCAATCTTTCTCATCCTTCAAGACTCAAGATTAGATATTAGCTCCTCCAGCATGCCTTCCCTGACACCCATGTTGTGCTAAAAYTCAATATTATTTATGTTTCTATAGTACCTGGAAGTACCCACCACATTACAGCCACGTTATCTGTTCTCTGAATCTGTTCTCCACGGTGAGTCAGGGCTTTATCTCACTTGACTTTCCATTCCCAGACATACTGCCGGAAACCATGTATACAGAACATGAGTTTGTTGGATKCTAGCAGCAAAGTCATAACAGACGGGCAAGATGTGTACAGAAMAAGCAAGAGGCTCTCCTGGGCCTCCACTGTGTCCACTGTCTGAACAGTTGTGTCCCTACTCTCACTGTGATGGCCCAAATGACTTYTTGTCATTCTTTAAGCCTCAGCTTGGCAGTCACCTTATCTGAGACCCCATCCCCCACCCCCATGGCTTACTTTACCTATCTAATCTCTACCACAGGACTGCTTCAACTGACTCTTGTCCAAGTTCCCAAATTAACTCCATGGYATTAGAGCATGAGAAAAACGGCTTCCTCTCTACTGAGCACCTGACACAATGCCTGGTACTATRATAGATGATGAAAAATATTTCACTTATCTGTGGCCTTGATGATGTTTCAGAGGTGAATACTTACTACTAGCACTACTGAGACCTAAAGATGAATTATTCAACTTTTTATGTATCAATTATGCTTCAATAAAGTGGTTTTAAAAATACATAAATATCTCCCTCCTACTTGTCAATAGTAAAATATTCTGCACAATACATAAACAAGTAAACAGATAAATGTAATCTCACACTCAAATTTTATTGGAATAAAAATTATAATGATATTCCACTTCTTGTTTCCAGTTTTCTGAATGACAGAGGACAGAAATGGAGACTAAATTTATCAACMAATATAGTAATAATTTTTTTCTGAAATTATTGCCTGGTTGAATCTACCAATTAATTTCATCAAATAAACATTAATTGAAAGCTTACCTAGGAAGGATGGATTTGGACTGAGTCTCAACTGGTCAAATTACTCATTCCTAAATTGCACTAGATTGAAACTTCTTGTTTATGACTATATTTTTCAGGATTTGATTTTCAGTCATATTCTTTAGGTTTTGATTTGGGAATCCTTGACTATACTTTCAAATTTTCTAGAAAATGCTGTTGCCATGCTGCCCTGGCTCAGTTCTCCTTTTAATTTTGAAAGAAGTCCTTCCCTCTGTCATTTACAGGCTTTCCTCTTACTGCTAATTGAGGCCTTTACTTTTAGTACRTATTTCCTACATATTTTTTTGACATTGCCTCAGTGACTCTGTCTCCATGCATGAAACCCTTGTTTCTCTGTTTGCAATTCCCAGATTTATATTATTAGTCCTAGTTACCTTCTCTTAGCCCAAATTTCGAATAGATATTAACGGATACTCCATACAAAATACACACGTAATTAGCTTCCTCTTGCTTTTTCATCTTTTAGGATGAATGGCAGCATCATTCATTTATCCTCCAAGCTCCAACCTCAGGGCCATCTARCACATTTTCTTCTACCTTGATCTCATAATTAAAGCCCCTGACAATTYTTGATGAACTTCTGTTCTGGTACATTTCACATCTGCCTCTGTAGCCTATGTGCACCATCATCTTATTATTTGTCAAGAATCCATTTAGCATGTGATGACTTCAYAAGATTTTTCCTCTCCTACTATCTCTGGTGCTCCAAGCCATTGAAGCAGTCCAGGAACTACGTACAAATGCCTTTCTGTGCAACTTCAAACCTTTCATAGCAAATTCATTGCATGAGAAAAAGCTTATTTTTATGCCAACAGGTAACACAGTGTMGAACATGCAGTAGGATATTCAAAAGAGTATTTTCTAAAATGTAAAAAAAAAAAAAAAACCCATGGATATCATACAAATGTACCATGCTATTTTCCTACATAAAGATCTTTAATGGATTTCCAGGGTCTACAGAATAGAGCTCCAACTTCTGGACATGAAATGACTCATGTTCTTCCTCTAATCTTGCCCAGGCATATTAGTCTCCAGCCTTCTAATATCACTTGCTGCCTTTAACTAATGGATCTTGGCATGCACTGTTCTCTTTGCWTATAACATTCTTTTCCTTACTTTTTTGCATTCCTATTTGTCCTTGAAGACTATTCTCAGAAATTTCTTTTATGCATATCACTCTGAGTTAGCTGCTCTTAAGATAAAGCATAATTCTACTACTGACATTTCTTAGATTTGACTATTTATCTACATGACACATGACATGGTACATTTTTTGAAGACCAGAATCACATCTTCTTTATCTCCAGGGCTGATCACAGTAATTGTACTTAATGTAGTTCAGTGATGATACTATTTTCATCTATTGGTATATAGTCAACTAGGTCTATATTCTTAGAAAAACAACTTAATTGGTTGGATTTAATTTTCTACTTCAAGTACATTGGCTTTTACATTAAGTTCCATCCAAAGAAGATAACTTGCATTTTATATGTTTTTTTTCCAATGTCATTTTGAACTTCACTTTGAAATTCTTCCTACTTTTTTAGCACACAAAACAGTGTCAAATACTTTTTTTGGTTATCTAAGATCCCAAAGTTTCTTTCAATCTACAGTAATTTGTAAGATTTCCTCACAATTACATTACTTTGTCAAAAATTAGAGTTAGTCAACTCTTTGCCATATTGCATAAGACTATGACATAAACTACTTTATGGAAAGACTGTACTGTTTATCTTTACATCTCCTCTAAATGATGTTCCTGAAACATAGGAAAAACTCAGTATTACCAGGCATGGTGGYACACACCTGTAACCTCAGTGGCTCAGAAGGCTGAAGCAGGAGAATCCCCTGTTCGAAGCCATCCTCAGCAATTTAGCTAGACCCTAAGGAACTTGGTAAGCCCTGTCTCAAAATAATAAAAAAGGGCTGAGGATGTGGCTCATTGGTTAAGTGCCCCTAGGTTCAATCCCTGATGCCAAAACAAACACACAAACAAACAAACAACAACAACAAAAAAAAACAACTCTGTGTTAAATTAATGACATTCTTTGTTAAACACCAGATCACCATGTAGTAAGCTTGGAGACTGTGTATAGAAGAATCTTTTGCTCTACRTTCCCCAATATATTCTTGCAATCGCCATGACACTGAGATCTCACTTTCTTATTGGCCTACAGCATTTCCTTCATCCTCATCCTTCCACCCACTTACTTTATATTTTCATTTGCAGGAACTTCAGGCAATTGCACCGTAATCATGCCGTCCAGGTTGGTCTTGCCGATGAATGCAGGCTTGGTGCGGAGCACATCTGGTGCAGTCTTCGCTGTTACCCTGTGCTGCAGCCCACCAGCRCTGTTTCCACGATTCGTTAGCACGAAGGAGTATGACTTCTCAGGCTTCAGGTTGACAATTAACTTCTGTGTGGCTCGGCCATCCACTTCTTCTACCATTTTCCCATCGTCATAAAGAATCTAAAGAGACAACCAAYCAAACAAGTTTTGCTATCAAGAGCAAAGTGTATTTTCTAAACCAAAAATTCACTTGCTTCTGGAAAATGTGTGCCAGATCAATTCTAATTCTGGGCAATACCTAAGCCTATAAGTATTCATAATTCTAGAGACTGAATCAATGTTCCTGTCAGTTCTTGCTATCTAACGATATAATGTTTCTAAGTCTATCAAAAATATGCAAAGAAATGTGCAATAACTTCTCAATATTTGACCTGTCAGCTATATGTGATCGTAATGGAATGTGTGCTGAAATGCTCTAGGTTTTCCATGTATTATCCACATCATTTTTTTCCCTCATTGTTTCAATCCTCTTCTAAATATATTTTCACTTTCTCAAATGTTTGTCTACTTTTTATTTCACAAACAAGTACTTCTTTCTAACATCTCCAATAAACGTTAACAGAAAAGCAGAGTTTAAAAAAATGCCAGGAATTCAGACCAATAAACAAATTGAAAATCTCCCAGAATATTGCATTATACAATGTAGAGACCATGAACATTTTATTATTTTCTGGAAAAACAGAAGCAGTAGTTATATGCAAATAGTTCAAATTCAAATTATTAGGTATACTACAAGCAATGCTAACCTTTGGTTTGAGATCCTGTCTGCTCCTTAGTGCACAAAAGTTGAGATGCCAAAGCACCAAACTCAATCTCTTACATGAAAGTCAAAGTTGGAGAAGCTCAGTGGTAGACCACATGCCTAGCATGTACGTGTACTTAAATCACAGGGGACTGTATACTTTGCAGATTGCCCTATTGAAGTACCCTTTCAATAACAGCTTACAAATAATAAGACATAATATCTTACCTATAATATCTTGCAAATTAGAAAACAACTTACTTTGAAAGGCATGGCGGAATTATAATTCTCTGGAATCTCCCAAGACAGCAATACTGAAGTCTTCATTACTGCTTTGACATGAAAATTTTTTGCAAACACTGCTGGAAAAGGAAAAACAGTGTATTTAAACTATTCCTAAGGACATATGACCTGTCCTCTTTCCACCATGGATCATAGAGCTTACGCTAGATGCTGGCTACAATGCTTAGAGAGAGAAGTATGATTTGCCTACCTGGTTAGAGCATTCATTTTTAACCCATTCTCATAAAGATCTCTCCTTTCTCTCCAATTCAGTCAACTCTATTGTGTTTTTCTTACCTGAGGATATTGGGGTGCTGTCAGCCAGACTTTCTTGGCATTCTATAACTGAAATCTACGGCATCCAAAACGTATTAAGTTTTATATACTTTACCTTTTGGTTTTTGCTGAACCTACTAATATGAATGGGCCGATCAGTTATTTATAGCTTCAAAATACTGATTTCCAAAGACCGATATTCCTTTAAAGGAGGAAGGCCATAAGCAGACAAATCCTACCTTGATCCACAGGCAGTGTCCTGAACTGGACACTGGGACTATATGGCCCGGGCCCTTTGCTCGTGTGAGCACGTACTTTTACATCGTAAGTGGTATCTGGTTTTAAGCCAGTGAGTGTCATAGAGGTGTCAGCTGGAACAATGAGTTGCTCCATTGGAAGAAGGGGGATGTTGATATCCCTATAGAGAACGGTATACTTGGTGATAATGCCATTTCTCTCTGCCAAGACAGGTGGTTGCCAGGATAACTGGACGGAGGTTGAGGTGGTGCCTTCTGAGTGGAGGTTTTGAGGGAATCCAGTTGGTGCTTCTTCAGGAACAGAAATCTCTTTCACYATCTCCTCCCCAAAGCCCACTTTGTTTCTGGCGGACAGCCTGAAGATGTACGATGCTCCTTTGTGGATGTCTGTAGCTGTAAAATGATCTTCTTTTTCAGAGAACTCCAGAGTAGTGAGAGGCTCCATATCCTTGCGGCCAAATTTTAGACGGTAGCCCTGAAGAGGTCCAAATGTGTCCACAGGGGGGTGCCACTGAATGAGCGCTGTGTTCATCTGTGTGTGGTTGATCACAAGTCGGGGTTTCCCTGGAACTGGAGCACACAGGACAAGTGGTGAAACCCACTGGTGTGGATGTCCACATTTCAATTATTGCCAAATGGGAGTGTACCACTCTAGTGGCAGTCCCATTTCATTATTTATAAAACAAAGAAAACCACATTTGACCTACATACCTATGTGAAACTATATTCCTTCTCTACTTTAATAAGATAGTTGGCACTACTAGAATTTGATAAAAAACACAAAATAGGAGTTATCATTAAAACAACAATTTAAGGGATTATTTCTAAACCTTTGCACATACAAGTTCATGTCTGCCATAGAAAAATGAATCCAAGTAAAGATTAGCCAATTACATATAGTTAATAATGATTATTTATTATGTGCAATGTTTCACAAACTGTAAGAGCGTTGAGCATATTATCTTATTTGATTTATACTCCTTACTTCTCGCTATATATTTTCATTAGTTATTATATATCCAATTTCTATAATAAGAAAATAAGAACAGAGAGGTAGAAAACTAAGGTCAGGTACATAAGAAGAAAACTGTAAGATAGATCCAGCTCTGCTTAAATCCCACTTAATATGCTGTTATATTGCTTAAAAGCTAAAAATGCTTAGTTTCTATGGGTCTAATTAGCACATTCTGACTTTCTTATCCATACACAAACTGTTATGAAGTTTTTCAGCTGTACAATAGGCACATCATTAAGACTTACCTCATATTGGTGCTATGTCTTATTAAATGAAGATCTATATGCAAAAGTCTTAGCATACGGGTTTATACTCTAATAATATTAATCTTAATTATTAGTAGTCAGAAGAATATTAACCTTTTTTTGCTCAGGAGTCAGTTTCCCAGAAGTTCAGAATTTATTTTCTTTTTAAGACCGATATGTCTTAAAGACTGATTTATTTATTCAATGCCCATTACAGCTATAATTTTTGTTTCAAGGAAAGCAATTATTCCTAGAGTCCACAGAGAAAGGTACTGATAGAAAATACAGCCAGAGGATTCTTCAAGAATGGTAAAAAGAAGGGGAGGGAGGAGAGAGCACCACAAAACCCAAACTAGCCCAACTTTGTAGAATAAGAGAGATGGTAGGAGAGGAAGAAAGCTTCCAGTAAAGGGAGACATTCAATAAAAGAGAACTGTAGAGATGTGGACAGAGATTAAAACAATCTGGATAGGTGATGAGGCATCACATCAAACATCAGCCTCAGAAACAATCTGGTTAACCCCTTCATCTTCTGAATCAGAAAGCTGAAGCCCAAATGGGGATGTGCTCTGCCCAGGAACACACTTTTTAAGATACTTCTATCCTTAATCAATGCAGCAAGCTGTATTTCACAAGATGGTTAAATTCATAAGCTAACCTACAGTTTATGGGGAAAAATAGTTCCTGTAGTTTGCAATGGCAACTATGTGTGTGGTGTTAAAGGTTGGTTTGTTACTGAACTGCTCCATACTCATAGTTTCCCAGGGAAAATGTAACCAGATACCTTAAACAACACACTGGCCAACACTTAGAATACAGCCCATTCTTCTTAATCTGGAAAGTACTTGAACTATTTCATTTATTTTATTTTAAATATAATTACAATTGTTTTTATTTTAAAACAGCATTTAAAGGCAGACATTAACAGACACCATTAATTTCCATTTATGTATATAAGCATTTATATGATTTGTCCATTAAAATGTGAATGTTGGTGCTAAGAATCAAACACTTCAGTCTCTGCTTAGAAAAATGCATGTTAAATGCGGGGGTGGGGGGCTTTTAGGAGAGAATGTAACCTTCAATAAACGAGTCCCAGATAAAACTATATGGTAGAACTATAACAATTAACTCTCACATTCTTCAGGGCTAACATATTTATTAAATATGTTTATTGAATTTTTTTAAAAAACTCTGGATCCAAGGAACTCCTTAATGGTATGTAAGCTGCATATCTTGTTTCTATAGGATGCATGGGCTGGGGTTGTGGCTCAGTGGTAGAGTACTTGCCTAGCATGTGTGAAGCACTGGATTCAATTCTCAGCATSAATAAAAACAAATAAATAAAATATGTGTCCATCTWCAGCTAAATATATATATATTTTAAAAAGATGCATGGAAGGCTAGATCAAAAATACCTTTTAACTTCTTGATAAAAATCACAAATATTGATTGCAGTCTAATAACATTGGTTAGATCATAATACTTTGTTATTATCTGCTGTTTCACTTAATATTGCTAAGGTACAATATAATGGGAAATATAATGGACTGGGAAGTTCAAGGAAAAAAAAAACATCCAGTTTATGAAAACATACATCTATTCCTCAGTGGGAGTCAAAGCTTAGGAGGGAGTAGCATACACTGWTTTTCAATTTTGGCATGCCCTTTCTTCTTTTTTTTTTAATTTTATGTTATGCGTATTTTTTTATATCTTTTTTGTATTTATTTTATTTTTATGTGGTGCTGAGGATGGAACCCAGGGCCTCGCACTTGCTAGACGAGCATTCTACCACTGAGCCACAATCCCAGCCCACGCCCTTTCTTACTACATGGTATAAAGGCTTGTGGGCTTGGAATCATGAGATCGAATAATGTTCTAGAAGATGCAGCATCGGTTCTGACCTACTGCTTTTCCCTGCTGTGTCAGGAGCAATCCCATTCTGCTCTCTAGTTCCAACCCACCACAGCCATTCCTTCYCCAGGCACAAGTTTAACTAAGCCTGAAAACTATTGAGACAACCACCCTGGGAGCAGAAAAAGCACAAGGGAAGGATTCAGGAAAGAAATGAAATGCTGAGGTAGCTACAGAAAGAGCTGCCAATACCAGCTCAGGAGAGGCTGCTCACATGAAGACAGGACTAAAACCACCCTYGGAATATAATAGAATTATTAGATGCAGTTCAAATCAGTTGGGGCAAGGGCTCTGAATGGCTATGAGTTTTTACCCAGAGAAAAAACTCTTGCTAGGGAAATGCTTCAGACGGGGAAGGATGGCAGTAAGGTGCACCAGGAGCTTTTCTCTTACAGGGATTTTAAATCTGGACACCTCCATCCCAGGCTCAGTGAGGAAGTGTCAAGAAAGCAAATGTTCATGCATGTAAATTAGCAGCATTTGTCATCTTAATATTTGTTGGTTAAAGGAAGATGTGAAATTATGAATAAAAATTCCAAAAGAATTCTATGTATAAATAACAGCTGTAATTGTAGATCTGCATGGTGACTAAAAAGTAATGAGCTAGTTTTAGTGACATTAAAATACAAAGATTCATTCATTTTGGGGGGTTCCTATCCCTTAGCTCTAAGTCCTGTGGTTCTTCTTTGTTATTCCATGACCTCCACGTTAGAGGCAATAGGAGTTTGATGCTTCACATAGGACTTTCAGGTAGTAGGAAAGGGGATAAAGGCAATCCATTTCTTCAATTTTGGATTTAATTTCAGGGGCTTAACAGTGGTTGTCAATCTTCCAATCGTGGCACCTTCTATAGCTGGCTAGTCACCGTGCCATCACCCCACTCACTGAACATGTCCCTCCTATTCAGGGCACTAAATTAGCTTGATACAATGGTATTCTTGGAAAAAGAGGGGGGGGGGGAAGCCCGAAAGACTCTGCCTTGAAGGAGTTTTGCCATCTGTAATCCTGCTGCTTGAGGCAGTTCCAGGTGGCAGGATGTGAGCGAGGCAAATCTTATGACATTTAGACAAATTTGGCAGTGAGCATGGCACCCAGGAGGGTGCTCAACATCACAGCTGTTCTTTGCTTTAAGCCTTTGCATAGAGGTGTGTTCCTAAAAAGTTGTGTGAGAAGCAATTCGAGAGGAGTAAATCAAATCACAGCTTAAATGTTCCATGGGAGATTGCTATATGAAGGGATTGGAGAAGAATCCTTTTGTAATTATCTCTTAATTTATTGGTTTTACAATGCCAGACCTTCCTTCATGCTGGCTTTTCCTAATGTGGCCGAACAAAGAGCCCCAAGGAAGCTTTGTTCTTCAGAAAGGGGCA